GTACGGCGATTCGAGTAGCAAAATACCAATTTTTATCAGATTTGCTTCACACTGGCCGTGTGATGCGATAGTCGTGAACAAGTGATTGCCTTGAAATTGTGTTCTGGAAATTGGAACGGGGTTTGGGAATGCATCAGTTTCACAGATTTTTGGTGATATCCGACTACCCACGATGATTCGTCATGGCTAATCAACTTAGTAAAATAGGGGAGATTTGCACACGAGTCCATATCGATCCAACGAGAAAACACACAGTTGCTCATCGGTCACGCGTTATTCGATTCCGTGATGTGTTCCTTGCATTAAAATTTTACATAACTCTTATAGAACCGCGGTTGCATTTCAATTTTTTCTACTGATAGTGTAATTATCACTTGGCAGTAGATATTAACCTATTTCCAAGGTTTTCCAAATGGGTGCCACACCGACGAAGGGTTTTCCTTCGGAACGTTGACCAGGAGTTTGATCCACAAGGGGCAGTGGGGCATAGATCCAACGCGCGAGCATGACCGAAGCACTCGTGTGAAAGCTTCTACAGACCTCTCACACAAGGCCTTTGGATTTCGGTCCAGTGTGTTGTTCTCTGATGCTTTGATTAACGGTCCGCTTTTCGGGAGTGACCCCTAGCCTCTTGCACCCAATGAGAAAGATTGGCTGTGGACGGAAAACATCGTATTAACTAAGGGCTGCCCATCTTGGGCGGGTGGTAACTGTCCAATGAAGTTGGAAGACCATCCCCCCGTCGGGTAGTAGCCCCAAGTGCAGCGACCTCTTCAGGAGCATGAGTGGATAATCTAAGTAGGCCAAGAGGTGCCCAGTCAGCTAGCCTTGTGAGACTGAACTTCGTCTGGTTTCTACCCACTGACCTTTCAAGTATGATTAGCTCTTGTGTCGCCCTCAGGATCATAGTAACACACTACCTATCACACCACGTCAAGGTGTTTTCTCTTGGTATTTAATGCTATCCGGCTCAGAGCAAGCATTTCCCGAATTTCATAAATAATTCCTTAGTTTTCATTGATTATTCCT